ATATCGTGAAAAACAATCTAGTTTAATCTATCGCGCATAAGGATAATTAGTACGTTTGTTACACGTTTTAGAAATTCAATTTAATTTGATACGATATCGTCGTTATCGCGTGGGAGCTTTTTGACCCGTAAACAAACCTTTAACTCCATCGTACTTAACTTATTCTATCGTATATTTATACGTATACGGAACGAGCCGACGCGAAAATACGATTGGAACGAAGCTACATCTACTAACGATAATTAGTCTAGAAAATACGATATATGATAAGAAACGGTAGCGATCAAAGGTGATACGTATGAGATACGTTTCGAGATTAATTAGGGTCGTTGCTACGCGGTTACCGCGAACGTATGTACTATGAAGGTATGACGGATCTCCGACGGCAGAGAAAGGATTCTCGAGAGAAATGAGAGTTAAAACGCAATCGTAGAAAAACGGAAAAATAGACAACGATGCTATTCCAATTTACGAAAACGACAATCATTGTTGAAGGTGAGATAGCATCGTTAAGAAAGCGGTAGGAAGGGTGAAATGGAAAAGGGAAAGGCGGAGGAATTGTCTCTTTTAGTTCGAGAATTGAATCCTCGATAAGCGGTCGTATTATTTGATCGTAGTTTAATTTATGTCTCGTTTAACGACGAAAGACAAGTTGCTCAACATAGGTACTTATACAAAATGTTTATCGCGTACTTTCGTTGATACACACGTACGTGCGTGTATTGTATGGAATTGCGATTCACGGTGCGAGTGGCTAAATCGGAACGCGTGAAATATCGCGATAGATTTAACGAACCGTCGAAACGTTTGTCGTCGAAAGATCGAATGATCTGCAATCTTTCTTCCCTCAGTTTTGTCTCACGGTGTTACAACTCTCTACGGCTTGAAGTATGATCGACGACCGATCTACCAGTTATATTGCTAGACTCCGGGATCGTGAATAAATTTACGCGACTCGAGCAGATGCGGGACGCGTCTTCCGTTTAATTTTCTCGATAACGACGATCACGGTTCAGCACGTGATTTTTCAAGGTATCGATAATGGTAAATGGTAATGGTAACGGCCAAGGTCATCCGATGGTTACGGCATGTTAGGTCGTTGAATTTCCCTTGATGTCAATTATAAAGCTGCGCCGATGAAAGTATGACGTTGGATTTAAAAATATGGGTGACCTTGATATCCGAAGAATCGCGTGGCCTCGGCGTTGTTTACCGTCGTGGGGTTTTATGGAAGATGTTTTTTCTGCATCCTTAAAGGGAGAACGATCGACCGCGTCGCGTCACGTCGAATTGCTTGGAACATGTCGTACGTGAAGGATCAAACCGAACTATTCAACTCGGAGAGACAAAGAAATTTGAATTGGTTGAAAGAAAAAATTCCATTGGCTTCAATTTACGTTCTTCCGACTAATACCAAGCTTTCTATCGTATGCTCTATTCAGACGCTAATTTTTGCACGATCAAGAGTAACGGAAAAGTGTATCGATATGAATTTCTATGGAATTTCGTAAGACAACGATCTGCAAAATAATGCAGCATGATATTCTCAATGGTTTTTGAGTCTGTTGGTAATAAGATAACTCGGTTAGGAAGCTCGATACTGTTCATACGAGGGACGCATAGTTGGTTAGGTCGAGGCTAAATTTGTAAAACGATCGATATTAATATAATGGACTACGAGAAAAAGCCGGGAGTAAATAACTATCCCGTTGCAGGTCGGGTTAACGCGGTACTAACGCGTAATTTTACGTCGAGCGTAAGGGCGTCAATGTAAAAATATCTTAGCACGTCGCGTCCCATGTTTGTTATGGAAATATCGTACGGAAGGTTCTATGCTCGAGAAACAACATCCAAACCGAATTTCTTCGTTTCGTTTGCTTCCTTTCAATGTTGATGTTTCGGTAGAATTTAACTGCGATTTTGGTTTCTGATGGAGTTTAGAGACGTTCAAAAGCAATAATTTAACCTATTCGTAAGAGGTTGTTCGTTAGGAAGCGAACGTTAGATAGGGATTTATTGCACTGAAAATACGGATCGGAGAGTTTTTCTTCCTTGTTGTGCATAGACGTACATAGACGTGTGTCGTTTCAACGATACGATTCCGTTAACCCTCTGACTGCCACGCGTAACATTCCAATCTTTACATATAGTCTGATTCGTCCCTCCGATTTTCTACGCTTAACGTTTTTGTTTCTCGTTATCGTAGATAGTTATAGATCGCACAAGTATATTCGAGAATCGTTTAATTTTTCATTTCGAAACGGCAATGTTCGAAGCAATGGCACTTCATATCTTTTCTGTTTCGCGCACAACGATTCGATTGATCCGATCGACGATAGATGATCGACAAGACAAGAGGAGACATCCGTTTAACAGAGTTTGCAGATATTGGAGAAAGGGCGTGGCGGTCGGAGAGGAAAAGCTGAGCTTAGATAGCCTTGTGTCAGACCGGCTTGAACGGTCTGAACCGTTCTGTGATTTGTCGCGATTTAAAAACGCGAAAGAAGGGAGAATGTATATATAGTCGATGGTGCGTCTCGAAATCAATTCACGCCTTGTTTCTTCCAGACGGGTAGGGGTAGCTCGTTTGACACGAGACAGGAAATCAACGCGATCTCTAAAATAGTCTATCTTAAGCATGGACGATCGTTGATAATCACTTTGTCGTTGAATAATCGTTAATCACCACCGTGACCATTAATCGCCACTCCATTAGTCATTGTTACGGTATTATCGCTACACTTAATTGATTAAAAGGTTACTAGTTACTACATCGTAGAACGCAGTGAAGAAATATACAAAGAAACTAAGTACGTAACTACGTATCAAAAGATATAATAAAAGATACGAGATTAGAAAGTGAATGCCGAGTGCTGATCACGATGTCGAGGCTTAAGTTGCTTTCTACGAACGCGATGACGAGTCAACGAGAATCGTTCAATCGTGATAGATCGATGGCGAACTGGAAACGCATTTTTGAACGATGTTCGCCCGCGTACGTCCTTTCGTCGAGAATCTACGTTTTCGCTTGCGATTCCTCGAAGCTATACATAATATACGATTCGCGATAGCAAATCTTTTCGAACGCAACACCGCGTTTGTCGGCGAAACGATACTCGAGCGACCGGCAACATTCCCTTCGCATTCCTCAAGCGTCTGCACGTAAGGATAGCGATTCGGCTGACAACCAGGGAAACGTTGCACGAGAACGAGTCGCGAGGAGTTCGCGATACCGTATTGATTCTCAATTTGTTCCTTTGCATGCAAAACTATCGGCATATCTTCGTAATCGTCGCTCTTGAACGATCGACGCGGAATCTGTCGCGGATCCCACCGCGGTTATAATAGGGCCGTACTTCGGCTGCGCTATAATACTCACGAATGTTATCGTCCAGTAGGACAGAGATCACAGTAAAACAGTAAGTCAATCTCGATGGGAGCATGGAAATATTAAGACGATTAACTTATGCGTGCATAATGATGGGCACTAGATTCGCTTGTTGCTTGATACGATCAAGCGATCGTACCAGCCCGATTAGTTTTGTCTACAGTGTTTCAAGCATAATATCGACTGATCATTTTTCGTGCCCATCGTTAGTTACCTTTACGCGAACGCGTCGACGCTTTGACGGATATCCACCGTCCCTGGAATCGTCGCTTTCTTCTCGAGTTCCTCGATCATTCTGGATCGCGCTTTCTTTTCTTTCTTTCTTTCTTTCTCTCTTTCTTTCTGTCTGTCTGTCTATCTGTCTTCCTTTTCTTTTATACATTCTCGAGGAAAGTTGAAAGGTACGGTCCTGCCGATCGATTCCTCCAAGCGAAATCCCATCCTAGACAGAAGAAGAGTATCGTCGTATCCTCGATCTATCCGTACGAGTTCCTGTATCGGTTTAATCTTGACTTGTCCTCGTCTTGCATTTGTGCATCGTCAATCCTGTCCTGCCATCGATATTACTACACACGCACGCGTCTCTTCGAGCACTATTCTCTTTCTGTATTTCTACGTTTTTCAGTTTGTCTATGTCATCGTATCATTACCATTGTCATTATCGGCCTCGCCATACCACCTTTCATTCTTTCCATTTTACCAATGTTGTCACTCGACCATCTCTTCGTCCATCGTTCTCATCGCAGATATCATTTTTCAATTTCGTTTCCTTGGTTTTCCTTTTTCTTCTACTCCTTCTTTTGAACTCATTCTCCCTCATGGTTATAGTTATTTGGTACGCGTGCGTGTTACTCGATTACACAGCGCGTATGTGCCGCCTCGAGATCGTTGCGCTCGAAGTTTTCGAATCCGTGTGCAGACTGACAGTTAATGGAAACGGGATTGGAAACGGTGGATTTTTGGCTGTTTAGAAGCCGATCCTTAAAAATTCGTTCGTCGAAGAAAATATGAGACGACGAGCTACTCGATACCGAGTTGCCATTTACCTGCCAAATTTATCGCCAGTTTCCGCAACGAGCTTTTGCTTTCGCGCTTCGATGAAAAGAAGAATCCGTTGCCAATGCGTTCCCAGCACGCGGCCCCGCTGCTCGTATTTACGCCTTTTTTCCCTTTTACAAGCGAGTCACGATCAATGAGAAAAAGATTTTTGGCAAGCAACCCACGAAAACCTCGAGCCCGACGAGATGTTCAAAGTTGATCGGTTTATATCAATATTAACAAACGACTGAACACTATTCGTTACGATAAATGATATACATGTTATGTGTAAGTATATACGCGTATATCAATAATACGTGTATATGTTTATATACAATATATATATTATATATATAATATAATATATATACATATATATATGAATTTATATTTAATTATAGACATAAGACGTTAGTATGCAAAGGTCGTGATACCTGCAATAGGGATCAAGGTATTAGACATAAAATATATTTAGATAACTTGTACGGTCATGCGAATTTCCGTTGCAGTATAAATGTTTGATTTGTTTTTACACGTTTTGCATTGTTTATATCGATATTTCGTGATTTGTCAGGACACACGGGACACGACGTTTATTTGCTGCGAATCGAAATATGGAAGATGGTCGTTATTTAGTATTCTCGTTCGTATCATTCTTCGCGATCAAATGCAGAAATGATCGTCGGAGCCATATATGTGTGTTGCATAGAGAGGGGGGAAAAGGCGATGACGACGATGGAAAGGCAGGGGATTCCGAACAACGACCAACACGAATAGGTCGTCGGTATGGAATTGGTAGCGCGGGAGCACGGAGCGCATTCGCATTTTCGATGTACTCTACGTATGCTTTTCGACAGGTGGTGAATACAATCGTTGGAACTACGCGAACGGCTACGTGAACTCGCCGGCTTGGCACGTGCCACTTCGCATGGCACAGATTCGTAACGTAATGGTTCACGCAACGCCACGCACTCTCACCAATCGATTCATACCGGCATACCCACGTTGAGAACACTGCGGGACAAACAAAGAAGTACCATGCTACATCTCTGAGAAAATCGGAAGCTTCCTTAGCACGCTAGAGAGAAACAAAGTGAACCGGAGTGAAAGAAAATCGACGTCACGAGAGACGATCGGAAAGAAAGGGAGAAGATGTCTTCGTACTTTCATCTTCGGTGCTTCGTTCACATTCACGGTCACGTTTACGATTCTCGTACGATCACGTAGCTATGTTCCGGCGAAGGAGAGAGAAGATAGGAGACGCGTGTTCATCGGGTCTCGAGCTGTGGCACGATTTAAACACGGATCGATAGATCGTGTGGCTGCCACGGAGAAACCTAACGCCACCGAATTACCGAGCATAAATTTGCCAAGAACATTACCGCCGTTCTTACTTGGAAAGCTCGGATGCAAAAACCGCGTTTCTCTTGGCACAGATCCGTTAGCTGCCGTCGCGTCGTCTCGGCCGATTTTGCTCTCTCGCTTATTGCTAGTCACCTCTATAACCTCGTTCCGTTACTCTCCGTTATAGCGCTCATTCTGTTCTTCGTCTCACATCGGCGCACCTTCTACTCCTCTCTTGCGTGTTGTTCATTCACTATCCGCAATATCATTCACGTATGCACTGCATCTTTAGAAGGTAGAACGATAGCTGATCGATTTGTCTCAAAATATCGGTGTCCGAGTATCGCTGGGCGGTTCTTTCGATTTGTAGCTTAATCGTTCAAAGTTCATCTGTTCACTTAACCGTTTCGCGATGTTTCATAGAGTTTCCCAAAGAAAACCTACGCTTTATACAGTTGCATAGAACTTGCCGATGTAAGTTCGAGCGTGTACAGTTTATTTCGATCATCCTTTGGTCTTCTTTCTTTTTCTCCTCTTTTCTTAAGATTTAACGAGTTTTGCGTAGCTGCAACCCTTCTGACATCCATCCCTCGGTCGATCTAGCTTTTAGTTCCCGTAAAATGCACCGAGATCTCTTGCCACGTAGCTATCACTTTAGTTCACCTCGCTAGTCTGTCATTCAAGTTGGTCTACCCTCCGTTATTGTGCGCAGAGATGTGAATTTTTGCGAGACGTCGACGCGCTTTTGACGGTTTCGCGAACGTTCTCGTGAATTCGAGCTTACAAATACGTGAGTTGCAGTAATAGCCGCGGTGTTAATCATGCGCTATCCCCGAAATGCAACAAGATCCCACGATCGAATCTGCTAAAGCGTCATTTAGTCGCGACGCACTGATTAAACTCACATCTCTAGTTGCAGTGTGGTACTTGATTTTGCAGCATCGTACACGTACATACACACTTGCGTTGAACGTGTGTCAACTATTTTCTACTATTTAGGAACCTTGTGAACCATTACGTAGCGAACCCTGTCACGATTCACCAACGGTTGTATCTTTGTCGCTTGCCACGATATCTTTCATAGTATTACCTACCGTTACCTATATCGAGTACCCTACAGAGGAAACATCCCTAACGAATCGGGCCACCCACGTCACATAACCAAGACACATCGAACGCACTCGTCTACACTCGTGTCACCCGGGATACTTCTCCATAAGTTTTGCAACGTATGTGTATGACACTGTATGATTGTACCTCCGATTCTACGTTTTTTCTTCGATCCTTCTTTCCATTTCCACTTTTCTCTAACCGTGACCTTCTTCCAGGTGTTCATGCTCGCTGTCTTTTTTCTATGTTGTTACGTGTTCAACGTATCCTCACGGTCACACGGTGTATCGCAACGAGACTAGATCCGTTTCCTTCGACCCTCTATCACCCGAGCATTCGCTTCTTATCGGCTGCTCGATCGAAGAAAACTACCGACTATGTACTTGTTTCATTCTTTTCTGTTATCTCTGCCTCGTCGCATTACGGTGTTGCGATCGAAGTATTACGATACTCTTTTAAATATTCATAATTATTCATAATACTTTTTGTCGATTAGTGCCAAATTTTGCGTAAACGCAGTTAAAACGATCGTATTTAGAATCGTATTTGTTGGGTAAACGGTACGTTTGATTTTTTTGCATAGACGGAAATCCTCGTCTTCCACGAAACGTTATCGTAGTCGACTTAATTAGATACTTTTTATAAACTTTTTATACGCGTTATACTTGGCGGATTCCAGAAAGGATGTAGAACAAAAACGTACCTTCGACGATCGATGAATTTCCGAAAAAACGCAATTATCGATTTCACACATTCACATATTTTCGATTCTTTCCCATTTTTACTTAAGAATAATCGTAGCTTTCGAGAAGCGGGTCAAACGAACGATCGATTTAAAAGATGATGAAGGAGGGAAAGCGAAGGTTACTTATATATCAAGAAAGATAACGCGTGTCCGTCGTGTCGGCGCTCCTCCAATTTGTAATTTGTACCTTTTTTCGATCGTTTATCAACATACCGTACTTGTTAGCTCTCTCTCTCTCTCTCTCTCTCTCTCTATACGTACACGCACAGATACGTGCAAGCGCGTGTGCGCGTATACATACAACAAACAGACACACACATACACATACACATGCACACAAGGATACGGTCCGACAATACGCGGTGATTTTCCCCTGAAGAACTGAAATTCATGGTTCAAAGAAAAAGAGAAAGATGAGAGAGGTAGGTAGCCTTAAAAAGGTCTTAAGCGTTAAAAAGGGGAATCACGGCGTTCGAGGGAAGGGAAGATAACATTTCAAGCGTAGGAAATCTCTATTGTACATTGATTATTGATTATTGATACATTAATTATGATAATAATAAATTATATACAAAGTCACATAGCCAGAGGTTTTCTGTGATTCCGTTTTTTGTTTTCTTAGACGATTTCGTTTTAATTTCTTCAACCTGTTTTTTCAACGTTGTCTACCGTGGATTAGGTTTTTCTTTCGATTTTCAATTCTTCCTCCACCTTTGTTCTTTACTCTCTTCCTCCCTCTCCGCCTTCATCTATCTTTCTCTCTCTCTTTCTCTCTTTTCTCTCTCTGTAATTCTCCTCACCATTTTTTCTTTTCTTGATTCAATTGAACATTATTATTAGAGGTATCATCCTAGTCCCTGCGCGTCGTCCTTTTTCCGTTCTTCATTACCGTATCTTTTTATCGCACTCCCGGATTCGTTGGTCGACCGGATGACAATACCATGTGTGAGTAATCCCTAACAGTGCCTATCTTTACTGTCAGTGGTATGTTTACTATTCTTTGCGGTTTGTTGTTTCGATGATTTGTTCATTTGCTCGGTAGTGGCACCATTTTCTTTCTTCTGTTAACGAGTCTGGATGTAGCCTCGCATCTTCGATTCGCTCAAATCTTAGAACGTGGATGCACGTTAAATTCAGACTTTAAGTTTGGACGGTCTCTGTAATTAGCTGAAGACGCAAGGTGGAATGGCTTCGTTGTTTGACGAATTTAAATTCGACGGTTTTATTTGCCTCGGTACACGCTATCGAAGACGTAGCACTGCACTACGTAGGATTTTGCATGTTCAAAGCTGTTTATCTTTCCGTTTACTCACGTAATCCATTGATCACGTCTATTTTAATCTTAATTATGTAAGTATACGGGAAAGTATTATTTTCTTGAGTTATATATATACATACATATTACAGATTTTTAACTGGATGCATTTCAAAAATTAGACTCTTCTTAGCACCGTTTTGTAATGTGACACGTGTAACGTAGATCAACAACGTAGATTCTTTTCAAAAGTTCTTTCTTCCTTGAAACGCATCTCCTGTAACAATTCCTTGCACGATGTCTATATAATACTTGGTCATTTTAAAAGTTCTTGCGGTTCTTGAACCCTTTACTTAGAAAAAGGATTCGATTTTCTATTTTAATATTATGCACTTGAATAACGGCAACGTGACATCTAATGGCCTTGATGTTATGGATCTCGGATGGTCGTCAAAAGACCTTAATAACTATATTCCCGAGATATTGAATTTCGGTGGAACTACGTTGTTTTAAAGCGAACGGTTTCAAGCCGCGACAACTTTCAGGACGAATGACCTATTAGAAAGAATGATTACTCTTCCGAAATCCTTGCTCGACATTTTTCTCTTTCTCTTCGTTTCTCTATCTCTTCTTTTTTGTATATTCTTCGTTGCAAATCCTACCGTTATCGGGATAAGAATCGACGCGGCTAAAGTCAAAAGAGGCTGATACAGTGCACCGTAGCATGCGAGTCGAGTTCGTACTTTTTCCTCGAGCGTTTATTTCTTATTGTTTGTAAACCGCAATTTTCTTATTCTTTGTGGTTTAACTCGTACGATCCAAGAATTCCTTGTCTTACTTGTCTTCGTTTACAGATACCGAGACAGATAAGCAGGAGAAGGCCAAGAAACAGGAGAACAATAATTCTGTTTTCGCCAATGAAAAATCCCCTGAGAAACGTACGAACGGTATGACGGAAACCAGCAACCCGAGCATGGTAAATACACCGGATCTAAGCCCAGTGAAAAATATACGAAACGGAGAGATGGAGGATGCCGAAGTTCGAAAGACTAAAGTGAGCTCACGTTTACAAATGTTTCGTTTGCACTTTCGTCCCATTGGATGAGTTAATGCGTGATTTTCTTCTTGATAAATAGAGATGGCCGACCGACAAAGCATATTATATCGCGAAGGAACTTCTTATGACCGAGCGAACTTACAAGAAGGATCTCGACGTTATAAACGTGGTACGTACACATCGAGAATATCCACGTTCCAAAATCGTTCAAATTGAAATGTACGTGGAGAAATTTTTTTATTCTTTTCAAATTGTAACATATATCCAGCGCGAGGATAACGAAAAAATCGTTGTGATAATCGCATGTCCCATTTTTACTCGGCAGTGGTTCAGAGAAGAGGTATCTCGAGAGGCTGAACTGGAGGGTGAAGCGGTTGTTTCGCTGATCGAGCTTTTAGCGGACGTTCACGGGCCCTGCCTCCAAGAAATGGAAGCGAGATTAGAACGATGGGAAAGTAACGCTCGGCACAACATCGGCGATTTTCTTTATAACACCTTGTTGAACGTACTGCCGCTTTACGATCAATACCTCGAGAATCTAATACCCGTCCTCGAGAAAATGGAATATTATACGAGGACATCACGTCGTTTTGATCAACTGTGCCGAGATTTCGAGGCGCAGAAACATTGTTATCTACCGTTAACCTCATTCCTTTTAAAACCATTGCAACGATTGTTGCATTACAACAGTATTATCGATAGTATGTCAATCATTCTTTGTTAAACTAATCAATACGTATGTATTACCTATACTGATGTACGTGCGTGTTACACTGATCCGATTCTTTTAGGGTTACTAGATCATTATCCAAAAGATCATACGGATTTCGAAGATTGCCTAGCGGCAAGAGATCGACTAGGCGAAACGTTGCTGGAAGGTCTTAGCATAATTAATCAAGCGGTAAATATCTGTGATCAGTTGTTGGTATTTAGAGTTGTATACTTCGATATTCGTTAATTTTGTACGTTATAAATATAGGAAAATCTAGTTCAGCTTTGCGAAATGCAAAGAGACATCAATGGCTTCGACAATTTGGTTCAAGAAGGTCGTAGATTTATTAGACAAGGCTGCCTGCAGAAGTACAGCCGCAAAGGTTTTCAGCAAAGAATGTTTTTCCTGGTAAGTTTCTCCAACCATCGTTTTCACGTAAAAATGGCTTCTTTCGCATAAACTTTCTTACTCGATCGTCTTTCAGTTTTCGGACATATTATTATATACATTCCGTACTCAACAACCAACTCAGTGTTTTCGCGTTCACGGCCAACTTCCGTTAAAGGGGATGAAGATTCGAGAAAGCGACAATAAAACTGGATCGGACTTTGCGTTTGTAATCGACCCTCAAGGAAATCAGTGAGTATCGTGAATGGAGTATTGTCCCGTTTAAGTAAATTATTGAACTTAACAAGGTGTTAAAAGGACGAGGTCTCCATAGTTATTAAGAGGTCAATTGACTGTAAAGACTTCACTTAAGCGTACCATGCTCCCAATGTAAATGTGCCAGACGTATCAGTGGACATTTTCGTGGGCATTCTATTCATTGGACACATTTTCTCCTATTCGCCGTTATTTCACGCATTCTCTTTCCTTTTTATCTTTCTCTTGTATTTTCCTTATTTCTTTCTTCACCGTCATATATTTAAACGAAGAAATATTCGCCTCATACATTCAAGTCAACGGTTTATGTAGGTCTTTAACAGTTGCCGCTAGTAACGAAGAAGAAAAAGAGAGATGGTTAGAAGACTTGAATATGGCTATAGCGCAGGCTGATGCAGATCCAAAGATGCCATATTTGAATTTGAAGGCTTGTAGTAAGTACCCTTAGCAGCAGAATCCTCGTTTATTCAACGGATATGAAGCAGAATTATTATTTATGTGATATACAATCAAATTTTAGGTTCAGCCGATGAAATGGGCGACGGTGTTGGATTAGAAGGAGACCGAGGAAGTTGTGGAGGTGCTAAAGCTTCTCAACGAAGCAACACGACTGTACATGTTTGTTGGCATCGAAACACGAGTATCAGTTACAGCGACCAATTGCGAGCGTTTCAAGTAAATGAATAAAAATTTCTATTAAGCAAGTAAAGATGTATAGTAGTTCTAAGGCATATACGTATTTATTTCAGAACCAACTTAGTGGATTTCTGTTACGGAAATTCAAGAATAGTAATGGTTGGCAAAAACTTTGGGTTGTCTTTACCAACTTTTGTTTATTCTTTTACAAATCGCACCGAGATGACTTTCCACTGGCTAGCTTGCCATTGTTAGGATACACTGTAACTACTCCGTCAGAGAAAGATGGTATCAATAAAGATTTTGTTTTTAAGCTGCAATTTAAAAGTCACGTATATTTCTTCCGCGCTGAGAGCGACTACACATTTGGACGGTAAGAAAGATTTGTGATAAAGCGCGATTAGAAATTTATCCTTCGAAATTTGTCTGACGGGACATGAATGTTTTTCAGGTGGGTAGAAGTGATTCGAAGCGCGACGCAGCAAAGCCATGTGTCAAGTAGTTTTAATGGAAAAGAAGGATATTAACATACGTATTCTATAGAATGCTGAAATGATGTTAACAAAACATTTGAAAAGAATAGCGCTATATGCACCACTATTTCAAAGCGTTTTTCATCTTACGATATAGTATTAAAATCGAGAAATCTCAACATCTTCAGGACAGATCTATGTTAGCAGTAACGTTGCGGCCTTATTCTAGGACTGAAATCAAATTTATACGATTGAAGTTGTAATCGACAATCAAATCAAAATCAAGAGTATCAAAAGAAAATGTAAGAAGATGATAAAAATATCGTAAAAAAGTCAAAGCATTCTGCTAATCTCCAAATTCGATTATTCCAAGAATCATCGATGTTAAGATATGTCGCGTTCTTATCGGTTTCCTTGTACTTTAACTGATGCGTAGTTAAAGATACGCTTGAAAAGGGTGATAATCTGAATGTAAATATAATTATTTAGATCCAAGTGGATCGCATTTGTTTGGAATTTATATGAATCTGATATACGAATCTAAATGTATTTGGATTACTGATAAGAATTTGTTGTCCATCATTCAAACGACGAAACTTCGATATAGATAGTGAAAAATGTATAGATATTAGCGTAAACCTTGGACCAATTTTATAATAGAATTTCTTTAGTCATCCATATAAAAAGACAATAATTTTGTTAGCGTACTGATAATTTTTTTTGTTATTAAATTAATATTAACAAGAGATATATAGAGGTTATTTCTCGCTATTATTAAGGATTTTATGATGTCATAATTGTTTTTGCTAGGTATTACTTTTTCGAAGTAATGCACGATTCAATTATACAAAGACTGGCTATGTGAATTTGACGAAAAATTTAGTACACGCATCATACGTGTCACATTTGTAACGATCGCACGTAATTAAAAGAAAGGACCTATGCAATAATAATATGAACACACATATCCACGCGAATGACTCATCTATGCGAAAAACAAAAGTCCATAATTTAATGGTTATCTGTTTTTTTTTTTTAGTTATTACGGTTGTTTTGTTATAATATAGAATTTAATTTATATATATATACACACACACACACACACATACACATACACATATTATATATACATAGAAATCAAAGAGAAAAAGTTAGTTTTATACTCGCAGAACCGTACTCACAAGCGCGCATGGGATATATATATCCGAAAGGATACCTCGTAAGAGATACATGGTTATCTTTAGCAAATTTTCGAAATGTTCGTACAGAGAAGCATCATTCAAATTGCCAAACTTGTACGTTTATTTCAAAACAATTGTATCGTTTTCGCTTCGATACATTTGATAACGTAGATTCGAAATAAGTTGTTATGTAATATGATGTATCAATATTCCACAATAAACGTACATTGCTACTTTTAAGACTCTTTTAATCAATTACGGTAATGGATGTAGTTAAACTTACAATTTGGTCGTTAAGACATTTAATAAAGTATCTATGCACATACATACAAATAAGGGAAGAAATACATATTTATCTTTCAACATTCATCGCGAATATGAAATGTACCCAATATATTCTTGATCTTTCTCAGATTAGATTACTTTTGTTCAAGTTAATAGGTAAATGTATCGAGCCTGAGTATAATCGTGTAATTTTCCTTGTATTCATTGTGTACCGCGACATTTATAGAAGCTCGAAAGAAAAAAGTTTTCAATCACGAGATGCTGGAAATACCCATAATAAAATTCTAACAATTGTATGCGATATCCTTAATCGTTTCTTCGGTATCACGTTGATCTGAGTACCATTGATTAACGATGGACAATCGTGTTCATATTATATATCATAATGGGAGCCAGTCAAACGAGTCTTTAACGTGAGAATTGCGAATGCAAACTATCCTTGTAGAAGAAGAAAACGATAAAATCGTAACCACGAAACGAAGAGAGCGGTGTTTCCGCGAAATGAACTATCTGAACGTATTTTTATAAATATAAAAGAAATCGTATAACTGTAGTCATCGCTTTATACGTATGTATAATCGATAGAATATTATTATGGTTAGGTCAATGTCTAAATAATAGCAAACATAGCTCCAAACATAAATCCGAGGTTATCAGTGTTTCTGTTCACGCGTGCAACCTTCTATCGAAGCTCTGATCGTTGTTCGATGACGTTTGTTTGCTAATTTATCAATACCAGTAACGATTTTTTATTCGATGAAGCTTATACCAGTGATGCAACGAAACTAGCCACACCGATGTTCAAAAATGTTTTATGTTTTACTACATTATCGACATTGCTTGCACAACAAAGCGATCATTGAATGAAAAAACACACGCAAAATTTCCAATGACGTAACCCCCAGCAGCTAACTGGTTTTACCAAACATTATCTTTTTATATTTTTTTGTTCCCATCGAAGGATATTCCGTTTCTAGGACAAGCAACGGAACCAGTGCTGCGGGCATTGTTACTATTGCAAAATAGTAACCCAAAGTACAGGATAAAATAATAAATCCAACAATACATTCAATGCCTCCGCGGACGTCGATTAAAAGCCATATGGATAAATTTATTATAATAGAAAAGCGTTTAGATGAAGGGTACGCAAGAAAATAACTACGAGGATCTCGCTAAGAGTTACATAGCTTCAAGGATTTTGACGTCGATATGACAAACACAGATATGTAAAGTGATACTTGAAAATACATTCTTTTGCTTTATTCTTTCAACAAAGCATGATAATAACAATGCTATCTTAAGATGTACAACAAATTTCAGCATTTGTTAAGAATGCATCAATAACAATAAATTAATCGCGAAGCATGTGGCCGACAAAGAAAGAAAAGAATAACAGCATGTTTTGAAACTGACGAGGATCTCGGATCTAAACAGCGATCATTCAGAGATAGGAGAGGCTCGAAGAAAGCAAGATAGAACGATTAGACGCGTTATACGTTCATCATCGGTTACCTTAGCCTTGGTTGGCAGCTGTATTTTTTGCTCCTGTTGTACCGTTTCACGCTTGGAACAGCGTTCGAAGAAGCGGCAGTTGTTACAGGAAGAACCGCGGGTAATCAGAGTGGGAGGAATGATATAAAGATGAGCGTCTTGCGAACGATCGGAATAGAAGAATCGATCCTACAACATGTGGAGGTATCGAACGATCGGGCTTTTTGCCTTGCTGGCTCTTCTCTGCATTGACGCACAAGGTACATTTTCTACTAATTCTATTCTTCTCCGAGATTAAATTTTACGTGGTGTGATTTCCACTCGTGCTAAGTGATTATGTTTTTTTTATATTCGTTTGTTCGTTACATCATAAATTAAGTTACAGATTTAAAAGGTTAAAAGGAATTGCGAATACTTATATCCCTCTCGGATTTAATGTCAACTTCGCCAAGCAGTGTCTAATTTTAAAATTATAAAATATTTGTTTAGCTGCAGAGACCAGAGCGAAACGTAACCCTCACGGATTTCACGATGCAGCCGCTGAAAGCAGTTTCCTGAAATCTCTTGCTGGTGTGGGTGGATTAGGTGGTGGATTAGGTGGTGGATTTGGCGGAGGATTTGGCGGAGGTTTCGGCGGAGGTGGCGGTGGAGGCGGAGGTGGAGGTGGTGGCGGATTTGGTAGTGGTGGAGGATTCGGTTCTGGTGGTGGTTTTGGTGGCTCCAAGGGAGGACCTG